ATGTGGCCAGTGACAGAGCAGATCAAAGCATGGTTTATCTCCAGGATCAGAAGAAATCTTCAAAAACGTTCTGCTTGCGTCAACTATTTAAGAATTATATGAAATCTGCTTGTGGAAATTACTTTAATTTAATGAACTGTTCTTTAAAAAAGAAAGAAAAGGAACAAGTACCACCCCAACACACCAATGAACTGTTTCTCTCAAAGCAAGTTTCAATGTCTTCATTACAGTCAAGACAAGATAAAAGCTATCAGGGATACCCAGACCAAACGCTTAACAACTGTTTCTTGACTCTTTACAAACCAGTACCAGTGCTAGCAGACTGGGAAATGACAGCTTCCAACAAAAAGTAGCAAATATGAAAAACATTGTCTATGAAACTATAACCACAGAAAGGTTTTTCAATTTCTTTGATTTAAAGAATAAGTGTTTTATATAAGTACTAATGTTATAGTGGAGTGCACACTGTTTTTCACATCCTGATTGAAGGGTCAAAGTAACAGAACCAGAACTTGCATTTTTAATAGTCAAGAGAAAAAAAATTAAAACCTTTTACTAAAATTAATTTCTTCTAAATATTTCATGAAGTGTTCTGGTTTATAAGATTATAACCTTGGGGCTGAGAGGTGCCACCGTGGTTAAAGGATGTTTGTTTTCCAGAAGATTTAAGGTCATTTTCCAGCATCTACAATGAACAGCTTACAGTACCCTGTAATTCTTGCTGTAAATGATCCAAGTCTCTCAGGCAATTGAATGCATGAGAGGAAGAGTAAGGAGAGGGAGAAGACACACACACACACACACACACACACACAGAGAGAGAGAGAGAGAGAGAGAGAGAGAGAGAGAGAGAGAGAGAGAGAGAGAGGAGAAAGAGATGGAGGTGGAGAGAGGTTTTTTTTTTTTTTTTTTTTTTTAGATCAGGCTTTTAAATTTTTTTCCTAAAAGCTTGTTTGTGCACCATGTGCATGCAAGCATGCAATCCCCCCCTGAGGCCAGAAGGGGACATCAGATTCCCTACAACTGTAAATTCAGTAAATTCATATGCTTAAAAGCCACAATGTGGTGCAAGGAATAGAACATGGGTTCTCAGGAAATCAGCCAGTGCTCTTAGCTACTGAGCCTTGTTTCCCACACACAATTTTTTTTTAAGAACATAACTTTGCCACCAACACCAGAGAAAAAGGATTAAATGCATTGCACACAACTGTGAGTATCAACTCATCTAGACCATCTGCAATAAACATTAGAAAGAGAAGTAAAAAGCAATACTAGTAATTGGTATGAGGCAGCTTATGGCAGTACACCTCTCCATTAATGTGATTTGTTAAGTTGTGAATTATATTGTAGTTCTTGAAAATGTGTACCTATGTTTATGATATTTTAACTCTGTGAGGACAGGACGAGCCTAGCTTGATATTTAGCCAAGCTAGCAGAATGTTGAATATTGTTTCTGGTTTAAAAGTTGTTTTGATGTAAAGTTGGGGAAAAAAACAAAAAAATTTGACATATTTGTTTTTACCAGAAGTTAATGCTGCAGGGTGGGAAAAACATGCTTGTTTTTGAAGTATAAATAAAGATGACTCTAGTTATTTGGGGCCAGCACTTGTTTGAAACTCATCTGGTGGTTGGACACTACTTCATTTCCTTGTGGCTTTAACCTTCCTTGTCTCAATATTTGAACCTGGGCTGTAGCAGGACCACAGCAAGCCAGCAGCATTTTCTGATGTTTATGTGGTACTGGTAGTTATACATATTTAAAAGTTTAATCAAACTTTGAAACATCATACAGAAGTGGTCTTCAAGGCAAGGTGGCTTACTACCAAGGTGTACAGTCTCTGCTGCCTTTACTAAGGAGAGGATTGTATGCCTTCTAGAAACCATGACTTTAGGTTCTGTCAGTGACTCCAGTTTCTGCAGTTGTCTGCAGTTTGGTAAGTTAGCTTGCTTTTTGTTTGAAAGTCTATCACCAGCAATTCCATTTCACTTAAATATTGTGAATCCATAGGAAGGAGACTCTGTAGATGTAGTTGAATCAATGATATAAGCGAGTATCTTCAATTCATCAACTTTAATGCAGTTGGTGAGCCATCCTTTATATGACTTCAAATAGGAACCAACATCTTTTGCTGTACTGGGCATTGGGGGCCTGGGTTCCAAACACTGGTTTACAAGCTAAACTCCATTAATGTAAAGTCTAGCATTGATAATGCATTCACAGTTCTGGCCACTCTGTAGCTCACTAGACAGGAGATAAGACAGCTGAAACTCTCCCTTTCTGACTTTTCTGGAAGTAGAGGTAGGAAAAGGCGAGTCCAAGATTCCAGGATTGTACCCTCTCATCATAGTTAGCTCATTGGAAAGCTTTTCTCCTTTTAATTTACATGAAATATGTTTACTTTTCTTGCTGTTTTCCTGTTAGTTTCTTTGTGAAATAAAAGTTCTAAATTATTTCTTTGGCATATAAATGTATTTATGCAATTTTAAAAAGAAAAGCTGTATGTATCTATTTTCAATTAAGCATATTAATGAAAAATTCTCAAGCATTGTTTTTGGATAACCATTGAACTTTATTTATTAAAATAATTGTATCAGTGTCTTTAAAATGAGCATTATAGGAGCTGTGGAATAACTCAATAATTGTATACACGCTTATCATTTATGAGTCCCTAGGCTTAATATACAGCAATGAAAGAAACAATCAATATTTTCATGAAAATACTTTCTTTGGAAAAGCAAAATGCAATGTTAGAGTGGAAAAATGCATTCCTTTATGCTACGGAAGTAACATAACAAGGTGTATGTCTATCATGTCATGCATTTCCTTGTTGGAGAGCAGGACAGAAGGGCATTTTCTATAGAAGAACATGAGGGTAGGGTACACATTAAAATGTTTCTTGTTAGTAAGCATATTATCATAAGTAAATTTCTAATTCTGAAAAAATAATGTATTTTACATTAGGTCCTTTAAAAGAAGACACATGTTTATTTGTGTTCTTTGCATCATTTAGGCTAATAGTTCTCAACCTTCCTAATGTTGAAACCCTTTAATACAGTTTTCCATGTTGTGATGAACCCCAATCATAAAACTATTTCATTGCTACCTCATAACTGTAATTTTGCCACTGTTATAAATCATAATGTAAATGTCTGTTTTCTAATTGTCTTAGGTGACCCCTGTGAAAAGGTCATTTGACTCAAAGGGAGTTGTGAACCACAGGTTGAGAACTACTGATTTATGCTGTTTCCTATAGGAGTATTGTGTTATACTTTCTCTTAATAAATTATCTTGGGCCAGGCAATAGTATTGTACCCAATTAATCTCAGCACTCAGAAGCCAAAGGCAGGCAGATCTCTGTAAGGTATATGGTTTTTCCGCCTGCCGCTGCTGGTCTTGTCCCGCTGCCGCGCCAGCCCCAAATAATGTACAGAGACTCTGTATTCGATATAATCTGTTGGCCTGGTTACTAGCTCTGCCTTAATTATTAACCCATTTCTGCTGATCTATGTATTTCTCTTACCGGGGAGCCGGCGGCATACTGCTTTCTCCCGACTCTCCATCTTGGCTCCTCTCACTACTTCCTCTTTCCTCCTTGTCTCCTAGTCCCTCCTATCTTCCTTTCCTATTGGCCAACAGTGCTTTATTCATTAACCAGTATGAGAAACATATACATAATGGCATCTCCCATCATCTCCTCTTTTTTGTTTAAATAAAAAGAAGGGTTTTAACCTTAACATAGTAAAATATATCACATAACAGTTATCAAATAAGAATCACAGTTAACAATATTTAGTCCATTAACATTTAGCAAGATTTAAGAAAATATTCCATCATCTATTTTATCTTTGTGTGTTTAAAGTCTAAGTAACTTATCTTTAAGCCTAACTAAGGAAAACTATAACCATAACTATCTGTCTTCAACTCCTTTAAAGACCACAGAAGGATAATATATAAGCTCTAGAAATGACAGAGACAACTCACTGCCTGGTCACTCGAAGTTCTTTTGTAATCTTTTATCTTCAGCCCATAGGCCATATTGTGTCTGGCAGACTCTTCAGCAAAGCAGGAAACTTTAAACTGTCTTTTTGTATGGGCATCTCCCATCAGATCTCTGTGATGTCAAGACAACTCTGGTCTACGGAATGAGTTCTAGGATAACCAGGACTACATAGAGAATACATGTCTCAAAAATAAGCAAAAAACTAGATGAAAAATTATGTTGAAAAAGAATGTAATAGTTTGTAGAGTTAAGGAAAGTTCACTCTGCATCCTTTACATTTCAAATAAATTGTTTTTATTTTTACTTATTTTCTTCCAACACATTATTTTTTATTGATTATTTGTAAATTTCACACAGTGCCCTCCAATCACACTCACTTTCCATTTCTCCCAGGACCACCCTCCCACCTTTGTGCTTTCTTCACCAAAATAGTAAAAAATATACCAAGTCCAATATGTGTTGCCCATATAATCTTGGAGCATAGTCAAACTCCTAGTGGCCAGCCCCATGAAGAAAACTAAGTCCTTCCCTGCCAAAATGCTGTATTTTCCAGAATACTGACATCGCTAAAAGCAATGTTCCATTAAAAGAAATTGCTTGGGGTTTATTGTACGCATAGATGATAATTTATTAGAGATGTCACATATTCTAAAATACTCTACAAAGTTTGTTCGCTTAATTTTACTAGCCTTATATAAGCTAAGAAATACTGAGCCTTGTTGTAGATCATTAGTTAAATGTAATTAGTGGAATCATGTTTTTATAAAACTGGTATGATTTGCAACATAATGGTAGCATTTTATATTTTCAGTGTGTTCTCACTGAGCATTAATTTCATATTTATAAAGGAGGAGTCATCTACTTATTAGATATTTATTGCATAAAAGACATTGGAAATTGCTAAGATGTATTAACAAAGTTAATGGAATATTGCAGTTGTGTTTTGTTTTCCTCCAAAAGGAAGGCTAAAGAGAACAATGCTCTGCTTGTGTCCCACAGGTATATTTCCTTGACTTCACCTTAGCACCACTCACTCAGGAGATGGAAAACTTGATGTGGATTAGGGAACTGGCAAAGGAAGTGAAAAAGAGGAATGTTTTATTAAATGGACTCCTCATCAACTACTCACAGGTATGAAAGTTGTTCATATTTACAGAATACATGTTTTTATGTGATTTTGATAAAACAAATGGATGTTGATGGTACGGAAAATGATGACAGGGGCTAGGGAAAAGTTTCAGTTGATAAAGCTTTTGAATGTTAAAAGTGAGAAGCTGAGTTTGAATCCCAAGAACTTGTGTATAAATCTGGTGTTATAGGATGGGTCTGTAACCATAATGCCCTTAATGAGAATTGGGAGGTGGAGACAAAATTATCTCCATATATTTTATCCCAGCGAACCTGGTACATACAGTGACAAACAACAATGTCTCATGCAAGGTAAAAGGAAAGGACTAACACACTGTCCTCTGTGTCTTCCACATGTATGGTATTCTCAGGAGAACATGCATACAACAATTGATGCATCTATGATGCAACCCCCATTCCTAAGGCTCAGGAAAACTCCTAGAAGAGAGGGAAAGAAGATTCCTAGGAGCCACAGGGCCAGGATACCTACTGCTAGATAGTGTCTTCTGGACATGGCAGGAAAGTTGCATCCATGAAATTTCAGTAATGTGCTTGCCTAAACAAGACCTGCAAAATGATAACAGTAGTTGATTTAGTAGCGGGGATGGTGGAATTTCGCAAGGTCCCACCCTTAGATGAAGAGTAACATTGGCTGCTAAGAGAGGAACAACAGTTTTCTCCAGGGAAGAACTTCCTGATAGCTTAACTAATCAGAAACAGTCAGTCCTAAACATGTATACATATGAACAACACTGATGGCCTCAGTAGGTTGTGTTCTTGGTAGATATTGTGTGTGTACTTGTTATATATATATGCATATACATATGCATATATACTGATAACTGAAGAAGCAGTCATGAATTTGAAAGGGAGTAGGGGGCATGTGAGCAGCTGGAGAAGAGAAAGGGAAGGGTAAAATTATGTAAATATGGTATGCATATATGAAGTTCTCAAAAATTAACAAAACTAAAACCAAAAGGGAAATATGTAAGCTGGCAAATACCAACTATTAGGTAGCCTGCATAGGATTGCCAGATCTAGTTTGTAATTATGTTCTAAATTGAAATTTAAACTTCAGATTTAACTAATGTCCTCTATTTTATGGGAAATCTAGCCCATGCCTTGCAGCAAATGGGAAATGGCTTAACTGTATGTCATTTCCATAACACTGGTGATGAAGTGCTTTCTTCCTTTTATGCAATTTAAGTACTTAGAATCAGTTCCTGACAGGGCACAACACTCAGCTAGAGACAGGTGTTTATGACTATGCTGGTAGCAACAAGTTAGTTAATGGAAGACAAAATGCTCTGATCCTCACCACCTCTGTGCAAAGGAATGAGATTTCCCACAGAATCTCATAGAGAAGTTGGAATTACATTCTGGGCATATATAGACGTGTGTAGACATATTACAGCCTAGATCATAGGTAATCAGACCAGTGACTACTTTATATTATATGAATTCTCATAGATATGGCTTAGTAAGTCTGACAGTTGCTTTTGGAGTGGTTTGGAATAAATGTGATTTATTACTGGCTTTCCAGGTAATCACAGATATTTAATATTACACATGGGTAGAAGATACAGAGATGGCTCAGTGTTTAAAAGAGCTTGCTGCTCTTTCATAGGATCTGAGTTTTGTTTCCAACATCCAAGTTGGGGAGGGTATAACCTCCTGTGATGCCAGTTGCAAGTGAGCTGAAACACTTTGCTGACCTGTACACACACACACACACACACACACACACACACACACACCTGCATACACATGTCCATGTGTACACACACATGTTCATATATGTGTGTAAAAACACAAAACAGCAAAATATTTTCATGTATACTTTAGGTATGTCATTAGCCTGCAGCTGTATTTTTAAAATAGATTTTATAAAAAATATAACGTTCATTAATACAGGTATGGTGGGGCATTTGCATGGAAGTCTGAGGAAGGGAGATGATGAGCTAAGATTGATATCAGCTTGCCCTTGCAAATCAGTGAGCCTTGAACATGTAAAGACCATCTTATAGGCAGTATTTCAGCATTCTGTAGCTTGATATAGCTGTAAGCTCTATCTAAAATATGTAAACATGACCTTAATTTAACCATTAAAAAGGTGATGCATTTTAGTTTACATAGGATCCTGGAAATCTAAGATGTTGGAACTCTAAATGTTGTGAAAGTCAAGCCAGACAAGGCTCAAAGGCAGATAACTAGTAGAGAAAACTTAAGTCTATGTCCTTGATTGGGAATATTTCCTGCTCAATCCACTATAATTTTGGTTATAGTAGATGAATATGGCAAGAATTATAAATAAATAATTTTTCCATGTTTGCAAGAGAATCATGGTAACAATATACTGTGCAGATGTAAAATAGAATTTATTTAGGCAAAGCTCAAAATGGGGGGGGGGGAGCATGTCCAGTCCCTGGAACCTTCAGGCTCCATAGATCACATCTGGTGAAAGGTGTCTGCATACCCTACAGACTGATTTCCAGTGAAGAGTAGAATTGCCAGGTAGATGCCTTGTTAGCTAATGCCTAAATTATAAGTAGTTTTTGGTATTAAGGGTGTTCCAAATATCACATGGAATACATATGCATTATAAATTGATTATATGCAGTTTAAATTTATCTTGTTTTTGTCTGCTGAATAATCTAGCAGCCTTGATATACTATTCCAATACCCAACATGCTGTGCACACTTACAGGATGAGGTGCAAGTTGCTTATCTATGTGTCTGTGTACCTGAGAGGATTCCCTGGATTGAGAGAGTGTTTGTTGAAACCAGAAGAAGCACCTGGAGTGCATTGTTTGCTCTTAAACAGATCTGTGTGACCCTGAGCTGAGACCTACAAAGCCATGTTTATATAACTACATAAGGTGGGATGGAGAAAAAGCCTGGAAAGTCTTCAAGGCATCTCTATTAGTAAAAGATTGTTACTCTTATCCAGGATGGTGTTCACATCAGTAAGCCCATCACTTGGGGGTCTGGAGTATGAGGATCAAGAGTTTGAGACATTGTCTGAAAAAACAAAGTTCTATTCTTTATTATTTTTAATTCAACTTTGCTATGGCAGTCACTGAATTGTAAAATATAAACTTCTATTGGAGGAATGCATTCTAATTATCTGAAAATCTGTGTCTGATATAATTAATTTATTAAGACATAACATCTAAGGCATGAATACTTTAAGCCAATAACAGCTGTTTTATTGGTGTCTAAAACATTTTATTTGTTTTAATGTAAATATTTGTAAGTATATATTCTCTATAATTTTTATACATGATCTATAATAAAATTTTTAAGGTCTATAAACTTTATAAAGTCCTGTCATTCTCTACTCTGTGTGTGTATTTTAAAACCTCAAGTATTCGAGGTAGAAGCAAACATGGTTTGAAGGTGAAAGCGTTTATGAACATATGACTGGCTATTTTGATGAATCAATGTCAGTTTGCTTCTGTACTAAAGAAATACCTGTATGGTGTTTGACAATTTATGTCAAAATTTCAAGTCCCAGATGTAAGATTTAGAGCTTAGAAACATTGGGTGCAGCTAGACATGGTAGACCTTGCCAATAATCCCAGCTTTTATGAGACAAGACAGGAAGATTATGAGTTTGAGACCAGCCTGATTTATATAGTACAGTCCTATCTCAACCAAGTAAATAAACCACCAAGTAAAACCAAATATATGTGGAGATGATGGAGAGCTGGGAAATGTGCTGTCTCTACCCAGTGACACTCTACAGGTCTCACTTGATACAACTTAAATCTGAAACCTCAATCTAGTTGTTTTTTTTTTTTTTTTTGCTTTTCCTTGTATGACCATGAGTTTCACTGTTCTATTTTTATTTGTTTCACTCATAAATTTTGCCTTATAATTAGTACACTTTAGTATAGTTCAGAGAGGGAATGTTTCTTTTCTTTTACACATCATAATAACATAAAAATGGAAGGCAAACAGAGGAGAGCTAGATATAGCCAGGAAGGTGGAGGGTGTGCAACATCTTAGCATAGCAGGTTGCTTGGAATTTAGTCTATACATGTTTGAGTTTTTATTTCTTCCTTCTCAGGAGTCTTCTGGTGCTTTAGATCAGAGGCTGAGGGAAGTCTAGAAAGGGACACTTGAGTTTGTGAGTGTTTTCATAGGTGGGCCCAGACTGTGCCAGTTGGGAGAGCTGCAGAAAACAACTATAGAGATTGGAGTTTCGGGCCCATCAGACCAGATCTGCTGAAATCCAACTTTTAATGTTGCTACAGATATGGAAGTCATCTAGTAAAAACAAAGCTTACAAAGCATTTCTGTACATTTTGTTTAGTAATTATTTCTGAAAGACTTATGAGAGTCATATAAAAAATTCCCAAATAAGATATGAAAGTAAAAAATGAAGCCTTGTAGCAACATTAAATTGAATGGAATTATGTAAATACGTCTTACACCACAAATATATCAGATTACTATATTTGATGGGTTAAATCCTTTGTTGTCTGTTTTGAAAATCTTGTGTGTACTCTGAAGGACATCTAGAAACATTCTGGGTTCTAAATCTTTGTAATTACTGCAAGTGCCCTTGTTAGGAAATGCAAAACAAGTCCAATATCTCTGAATGTCTCTTTGTCCAAAGACTGAATTTGTTTTCTATCTAAAGTGGTATGTGGTATCATCTTTAAGAGCACAGGATTGTTCATAGGGTAGGTAGGTATGTTTGTAAGCTGACAAACATTAAACAAACCTACCAAAACATACAGTGAGGTTGGAGGAGGTTAGCCATTGTCCTCTTCAGTGAGCAGTTGCTTGGAATTGAACTTGAGTAATTGAGTGACCAGATGGCAGTTTCCACAGTGCTGAGTCATGCACCCCAAACCTGTCACACCAAATGGTTTACAGGAACATGAGCCCTGTTCAGAGTAAGTAAACTCCTCCCTGTTTTCCTTTTCTGGATTGGGGATGTTTCTTAGATAAAGTATTTTTCACTTGGCTTTTTACTTGGGCTTTTGTTGTTC